GGACCCCTGGGGGCGTCGGCTGGCACTTCGGGCCCGCGGGGCCGCCGCAGCGCCCTCGGAACCGTCGCGAGAACTCGCGCGCGTCTCGGAGGCCTGACCACGTCGAACGCGACTCGCGCGCCCCGCCGCCAGGAAGCCCGTCGGCGCGGCGGGAACCCCAAGGCCAGGTTCCTGCGCCTGTCGGGCCCCGCGCCGGGCTCCCTCGCCCTCCCTCCCGCCTGAGGGGCGCCACAGACCTCAGTCTCCTTACCCATTTCTCCACAAGCATCACTTTTTATCATTTTTCCAAATTCCCAAAGGGCGGGCTGTCTCCCAGGGCCTCACACCTAACTGCGTGACGAATGCCCTAGAATTCAGGGGTATCGGGTGCGTTCACAGAGTTGATAGTTTTTGACACGAAAACTACTTCAGAGAAAAGATTCCCCCCCCACCCCCAATTTCTGGGAAGACGTCTGTGCCTATGAAGCGCATAGCGCGCCAGCCCCATACATGTAAAGGATTGTCGGGGGCCGTGGGGGCCGCCCCCCCGGCGGCCAAGACTCGGCCCAGTTTTACATCCGCACGAACAGGTCGGTCCCGGGACGCGGAAGCCTCACCTGTCACCTGAAACCTCAAGCCTGGCTCCCGAGGGGCGTCGGAATTCTCCGTGGGAAGCGTGTTTGGGACGCAAGTGGGGTGCTGCCGCCTGAGCTGGGCAGTGACTCGGGCGGCAGCGGGCGGTGAGAAGGGGTTCGGGGCCGAGGGCGAGCGGGACCCTCCCCCGCGGCCCCTCCCGCCCCTCCGCTCCTCACACGCGCCGGCGTCGGTGACCGCGCGTCCCCGCCAGGTGCTGCTCGTCTAGGGCATTTCCGCTTCCGGGTGGAGCTCAGGCTCCCGTCTGCTCCTGTCAAAGCTCCCGGGCAGGCCCGGGCCGTGGAAACGCGAGTTTTTCCACAGTCAAGGGAGTCCTGGCTCGCGCGCCACTCGCCGTGAAGTGCGTGGACAGGGCCTACCCTGACCCGGCGCCTGGAAGTTGTTGCAAAAGCTCGCCACCTGCCCGACCCCCAGCCCGGCCCGGCCCGGCCCGGCCC